GTTTTTTTTTTTATCAAAAGGGGTTAAATGGATAAATATGAAAATTGAAGCTTTAAGGAAACGTTATTTGCGTTTATAGGGTCCCACGCAGTGTCAACAACGTGAGGGCGGCTTTGCTTGTGCCACAAATCAAAGCAACTTTATATTTTCCATTTGCAGCAAACACCAATCAAAAAAGAAAACAACCCATCTATTTATTTGCCATTATTTTTTGAAAACAAGCTCTTATTAACCTTTTACGATTGTTCATATATATATGTATACATATTTTAATCATTTTTATTCTATGATGTTTATGTAGGAAAAAAGAAAAAAACTATAAATGGTGTATACTATAGTTAGATGAAGAAATTGATTTATAGACGTTACTGTAACAGGGTGATGTGCTAGCTGTACACACTCATGGTTTCATCAACGTGAAGCGTACCTAATTTGTGACAAACCTAAAACAGCTAATATTAACAAGTTCTTAACAACAGCATTTACAAAAATGAACATCGTTTACAAGAAAACACCCATACAAATTCCAAGTAGTAAATTAGCAAATTATTAACCACAGCCTTTATTAAGATAACACTGACATTTTTTATTTATAAAACTCAGGAAACAACAAAATAATAATTTCATTTAGTTTGTTTAGCTTTTATGTATTTTAGGAAAAGTATCAGGAAATAATTTGTTTCAGTTAATAAGATTATTTACTTGTTGATATATCTTATTGTTCTAAATTTGGAGAAATAAAATAGTTTTCTTATGATGATTTTTACTCTTTTATTGTTATTTGTTCAATTTTTAATCTTCTATTTTGAGATCACTTAGTTTTTTTTTTTTGAAAAATAAATTACTTAGATTTATTACTAAGATTTGCAGTGTTCTCTAAAGTTTATTTTCAAATCAAATTATCACTCGCTAGATATTCTGAAAAAATGGAAATCATGAGTGTACTTGATTAGAAGATAGACTAATGATGCCCACTATAGTTCTTCCTTGCACACTTAGAACACAATGACATTGGAAAATAGACGTAACAACATAAATTAAACGGAAAATCGTTTAAAAAACCTTAAAGTGATTTTTACTAGCATTTTAAATTTTGAAGTTTCTTCACTAGCACTTTTAATCTCTAAAGTGACATTTGTGTCATAAAAAAAAAAATTTGAACTTGAATATCTGACCTCTTGAACAGGTAAAACATATAATTTATCAGACTTTTTTTTTTAAAAATAAAAATTTAATAAATAATAAAATAAAAAAAACAATTAAATTTTCAAATTTTTGTTAAATAAAATTTCATAATACAAAGAAAATTTTATCAAAAAATAAATTGAAATACCATAAATTAAATAAAATTCTGAAAATTTTAAAAGAATTAATAAATTAAAGAAAATTCACAAAACTGAAAACTCAAAAGTTCTAAATAGTTTCTAAAAAATACACGATTATGTTTTAACTATTTGAAACCATCAACTTCAGCAGTGATATATGTTTGAAATTTTTATTGTCAACGATGATATGTCAATTTTATTGAAAAATTGCATAGAATTACAAGATTTTTTTTTTATAGTTGAAAATAAAAATTTCAAATATATCACTATTGGCGATGATGGTTTCAAACTGTTTTCAATTTTTTTTAAAATGTTTCTTTATGTTTTGAAAATTTCTTTAATTTTTTGAAAATGTAATTTAGTTTTTTATTTTTATTTAACTTTTTCAATTTTGTGAATTTTATTTATTTTTGTTTAATTTTCAGAATTTTATTTAATTTTTGGTATTTCAAATTATTTTTTTATAAATTTTTCTTTATGTTCTAAAATTTTCTTTAATTTTTTTTTGAAAATTTAATTGATCTTTATTTATTTTTTAATTATATATAATTTTTTATTTATTAAATATTTATTTTTCGAAAACAAATTAATAAATTACATGTTTACCTGTTCAACATCTCAGATTTTTAAGTTCAAGAATTTTTGTGACATAAATATTACTTTGAAAGTTTAAAAAAGTTTTTTTGGTGATATAAATATTACTTTGAATGTTTAAAATGTTAATAAAAAAAATTTAAGGTTTAAATTGATACTAAATATCACTTTGGAGGTTATTAAGTGTCAGTGAAAAAAACTTTAAAATTTAAATTGATAGTAAGTATCACTTTGGATGTATTTTATGCGATTTTTAAAATTAAACCCAAGACGATGACACACGTTACTTGAACCATTCCATATACTAGTTGTATACTCCCCGCGCAAGCGCGGGGCCGGAATCATTATGTTTGCGTATATTTTTTTCGATTTAGTAGTTTAGTGGATTGAATTCTTTTAATGACACCAAATAATAATGAAATGGAAAGAATGTTGTAAGAGTGTAAAGTGAAAATATTGTATATCTAATGTGTTAAATGTTATTTATATGTGAAGTAAGGTTTATAGGAATAATTAGGTTATAATACAGTTTTTAGTGTGTAAAAGTAGGTGTCTATTTATTTTTTTGCTGTAAATAGTTTTTATATCGTATGTCAAAAAACTTGATACAATTCTATATTTATAGTATTTATATTTGTATTAAACGATTTATCAATTTAAAAATAACCTTAATTAAGTTAATATTCGTTATTTAAGTTTCATTAGATAGGTTTTTATATATGGTTTTTTTGTAAGTTTGGGTTTTGTTCATAAATGATGTGGCATTTTTATCTATGGCGTCATCGACTATGGGAATCCATTCGCCGAAGTTTGGAGTCAGTGGTGAGGAATGTTTTCAATGAAATTATAGTAGTTATTAAAATGTAAGAGACATTATATATTCATTTAATAAATAACGAAAAATACTTAAATTTTGTTGTTTATTTTATTTTATTTCACATACAATTTTTTTGAAGATATATTAGGAATGAGTTAAATGTTATTTATATGCGAAGTAAGGGTTATAGGAATAATTAGGCTATAATATAGTTTTTAGTGTGTAAAAGTAGGTGTTTTTTTGCTGTAAATAGTTTTTATATCGTAGGTCAAAACTTGATATAATTCTATATTTATATTATTTATATTTGTATTAAACCATTTATCAATTTGAAAATAACCTTAATTAAGTTAACATTCGTTGTTTAAGTTTCATTAGATAGATTTTATATATGTTTTTTTGTAAGTTTGAGTTTTGTTCATAAATGATATGGCATTTTCATTTAGGGCGTCATCGACTTGGGATTCCATTCGCCGGAGTCAAAAATCGGTGGTGAGGAATGTTTTCAATGAAATTATAGTAGTTATTAAAATGTAAGAGAAATTACATATTCTTTAAATAAATAACGAAAATAATTAATTTTTGTTGTTTTTTTATTTTATTTCACATACAATTTTTTTTGAAAATATATATTAGGAAATGTGTGCAATGGTTTCACTTTTTGAGCTCTTAATCTATATTATTCAAGCCTCATTAAGCCATCTACGTAGGTAGTCGCGTGGGATTCACTTTCTTTTTTTTTTGGTCGGTTCGTTTTTGGACTTTTTTTTAATTATTTTTGAGTTGAACTATATTATAATAGGATAGTTTTAAGGTTCTTTAAGCCATCCTGCGTAGGCAACCGCATGAGACTTACTTTTTTTTTGTTTTTTTTATTGTTCGTTTTTGCATCTATTTTTGGTTTGTACTCGTTAAACTTTAGGATTTATCCAAATAAGCCATAAAAACATAAAAACCTTACAAACAAAAAACCCATATGATAATAACCCAAATCAAAAAATCAAAAATAAATGATGGCTGCTTGGTTTGAATCCACGATCTTGCATGCTTAATTAGACACCTTATACCACTTGGCTAAAGTGTATTTCATTGTTTGTAATCATTTTACCAAGATTATAAGTTCTTAAAAAATATCTACAGGACCCACAAAACTGTTGATGTGGCGCGTTGTGGAGCCTAGAAAGTGTACTATTATAATATAGATTATACGAAATGTTATAATCTTTTACTTTACATAATCTATGAGAACATTTGAATCAAAATGAAAATACGACAGTACAACGGTGGACATACTAAAATGAAATGCACTTTGTTTAAAAGAAACAAACTTTGCTGATCTGTCGACGCAACCCAAACATGGTTTGATAAACGTGACACTTGCTTATAAATGTAATACACAATTAATTTTGGTTTTAGTTAATTCCTTCATATACTTACATTTAGAAGCAAAAAGTATTTCATTAATTGATAGTAAATATTGCATTCATGTTTCTCTAGTTTCTCTTTCAAGTCATTTACGTTATAAATATATCTCTCCACAATTCTTCTTATCACTTGAGTTTTCTTCTTCATCCTCTTAAGGTTTCAGAATCTCTACTGTCATTCTCTCGGTGAGTGTTGTTTCACTTCTTCTCTGTTTTCCAGATTTCTTATCTTTGTCCCAAAATTTCAGGGCTATCAGATTATTCATCAATTTCTGTTTGTGAAAGATTGGCTTGAAACAAGTTTAAGAAAAAAAAAGATTGGCTTGAAACTTAAGAGACACCCTAATCAACAAATATTAAACTTGTCATGTTTTCAGTTTTCACTAAAAAGAAATAATAATACAAGACTATTTGTACTTAAGTTGGTAAATCAGAAACTTAGTGAAAATGTGCTTGATTCTTGGTGTGTAGTAAAAACTTTTTTTCTTTAACATCTGTATTTGGTAACCATAATGTTGCAGTAATGAAGAAAAACAGTTTCAGTTTATTAACTCCTTTAACACCTTTTAAGTTTTCTGCTTATAACTTATCTTGTAATATGTTAGAATTCCTAGAAACTGTGTTCTGGTCCTCTAATTCACTAATCTTTGATCTTTTATCGAGAAATTCGGATTGGTAGTTGGTTTATAAGGTGTACAAGGTCGTCTGAATAAGACTTATAATGGACTGATTTACAAGAATACGGCTTTTATGTTGCACATGTGTTCTTTTTCATCATTAAAACAGTAACAGCCTGTTCTTTAACCTTGATGTGATATTGTTATTTGATGACAGGTTAAAATGGGAACTCGGTTCCCGTCCTTGCTCGTGTTCTTGCTTTCATGTTTAATCTTTGTATCTGCCGCCTCATCATCTGAGCAAGAAGGTGATGGAACGCTTAGAATTGGATTGAAGAAGAGGAAACTAGACCGGGCCAACAGGCTAGCTTCTCAGCTTTTCATGAAAAACCGAGGATCTTGGTCTCCCAAAGATTATTTTCGCCTGAACGATGCAAACGATGATACTGTCCCCCTGAAAAACTATTTGGATGCTCAATACTATGGTGAGCTTACCATTGGTACTCCACCTCAAAAGTTTACTGCAATCTTTGATACCGGAAGCTCCAATCTCTGGATACCATCTAGTAACTGTCATTTCTCGGTACGCTAATAACTTGTTCTTAGGAAAGCATAGTAATTATTATATCCTATAGTTTTCTTTATCCCAAAATGTAAAAAAAAAAAACAAATGTTTTTTCAGGTTGCTTGTTATTTTCATTCAAAATACAAGGCTAGCGAGTCATCCACATACAAAAAGAACGGTTTGTTATTTGATGCTTGAGCTGTTTAACTATAATGTTCATTTGATAACATTTAGTTTTGGACACTAAAATTCATTTGACATTTATAGGAAAACCTGCGTCAATCCGGTATGGAACAGGTGCTATTTCTGGTTACTTTAGCAATGATGATGTTAAAGTTGGTGGTCTTGTTATCAAGGAGCAGGTAAACCTTACTCATCTGCTTTCATATCTCAGAATAATCTTGCAATATTTACTGTTTTTATTTTGTTAACATATCTTACTGGTACTTCTATATTCAGGAGTTCATAGAGGCTACTAGTGAGCCTGGTATTACATTCTTGGTCGCCAAGTTTGATGGTATTCTAGGGTTGGGATTCAGAGAGATTGCTGTAGGAAACTCAACTCCGGTTTGGTATTGAAACACTTTCTTTCTATTGTTCATTTGATAAAAGATTTTGCTGCACCATCTGGATTCTTAATGAAGGGTGACACATAGGTATAACATGGTAGAAAGAGGTCTGGTTAAGGAACCAATCTTTTCGTTCTGGCTTAACCGTAACCCACAAGATCCAGAGGGTGGTCAAATTGTTTTTGGTGGAGTTGACCCTAAGCACTTCAAAGGAGAGCATACTTATGTTCCAGTGACACATAAAGGTTACTGGCAATTCGACATGGGTGATCTCAACATTGCTGGCAAACCAACCGGTAAGTGAACCTTATTGAAATGTTTCAGTCTCAGAAATGGATTGAGTCTTTAACGTAATCTTCATATCTATGTCATTCAGGATATTGTGCTAAAGGTTGTTCTGCCATTGCTGATTCTGGAACTTCTCTTCTCACCGGTCCATCAGTAAGAGAGACATATTTTGTAGAAAGATTTTTGTAGATTGTTACATGCTGAATAGTTTTTGTTTTCTGTGATGTATAGACTGTCATCACAATGATCAATCATGCTATTGGAGCAGTGGGAGTTGCAAGCCAAGAGTGCAAAACTGTAATAGGTCAATATGGACAAACCATGTTGGATTCCCTTGTCTCTCAGGTTGAAGTTGCTTCTAACACCAACACATTCTTCACACACACTTATTTGTAAACAACACATCTTTAAATCGGTACTCTGCATCTTTTGAAATACAGGTGGATCCGAGGAAGGTATGCTCACAGATAGGACTCTGCGGTTTTGATGGTACACACAGTGTGAGGTCAGTACATACATAGTCTAGGAGAAAAGAGCCTTCTCTGGAACATTAGTTAGCAAACTAAAAACTGATTCATGTTCTGTCTTCATGCAGTATGGGGATTAAGTCAGTTGTAGAAGATGGAGTATCGGGTCTTCTAAACGAAGCAATGTGCAGCGCCTGTGAAATGGCATCTGTGTGGATGCAGAGTGAATTGTCTCAGAATCAAACACAAGAACGCATACTCGCTTATGCTTCTGAGGTGGGTTTTGAAGCCTTGTTTTAGACATAGAACATGTCAAAAGAAACTCTAATCTCTGTGATTTTTTTTTTAGCTTTGTGACCATATACCAAACCCAAACCAACAATCAGCAGTGGACTGTGAGAAGGTTTCGTCCATGCCTATAGTCACATTCAATATTGGTGGCAAGCCCTTTGATCTCTCACCTCAAGATGTAAGTACTTCATCACTTTCTCCTCGGATTTCAACTTACCAATATTATCACAACGAGTTTAAACTAAAGTTTTGTAATATATTTTCTTGGATCAGTATATATTCAAGATTGGAGAAGGAGTTCAGGCTCAGTGCACCAGCGGCTTCACCGCCATGGATATTCCTCCACCTCGTGGACCTCTCTGGTAATTCTCATTTCCAGAATCTAATCTACTATCAAACAAATTAAATGTGTTTTAACTCTTAATTTTTTTTGTAATCCTGCAAAAAATGCAGGATCTTGGGTGATATCTTCATGGGACCATATCATACTGTGTTTGATTATGGGAAAACAAGAGTTGGATTCGCCAAAGCGGCTTAGAAACAAGGATCTCTTCTTTATTACCATTTCTTATATGTTTGTGAATGTGTTTTGAACAATCCGAAATTGTTGTAATAACTTAAAAAACATTGTTATCATCTTAATACACATTTTTATTCGGTGTCACCCTTTTTGCATTTACTTTTTAGACATGCTTTAACTTACAGAGAACAAAGACCATAGCTAGTTCTTGCTTGATGTGTTTCCCTGATCACTTAGCCTTTGCCAAAGCTAGTGTCATTGACCTTGCTCGTAGGGTCAGGAATATTCCCCTGAAAAACAAACAAGAATAATGTTCATTTTTAAGTTTTGGTTTGTGGAAGCTGGAGCACATATGAGTCACTGTCTTACCAGAAGAATGCTACGAGACTGTGTAAGATGACTCGGAAGTGCAGTGGCACATACTTGTAGTTTACCCATCCCACAACGGGGAAAAACTGTGATTTAATTTAGTTCACAACACACAGAATCAAATCAGTAGACATTCTATATGTCACACTTACCAATAAAATGATAATAGACACAACACTTTCTATCACTTACTGTCCATGCTGTAAGCTGAACTGTTGGGTAAGTCTTCTTGATCCTGTCTCTAACAAGGTTCCAAGGAGTTCCTGTTTCATTTAACATTGCAGAACTGTATATCACAACTCTTGATACCATCCATGACATGGTTTTACTTTTACAAATAGAGTGATAGAAAAAGGAACTTACTTTCTATGACTACTCCATAATAGATCATAAAAAGTAAATGGTTCAACGGTGATAACGTCAATTGTTCCACGATTACCTACCAAACCAAACGTTTTACATTAAGCATACACGAAATCATTGAAACATCAATTGGAAATTTACCTTCTTTGCAACAGTCTTTGTGTCTTTCTTTCCTTGAAAGATCTTATCTAGAGTTGTATGAAAGAAATGGCCTACTGGTCCGAGAAAACCACCCGCAAATATCTGTTGGAGAAGCCGACATAACTCAAAGATTGGTTTGACAAATAGGGTTGTTCATAAGAGATAGATACAAGCTTTTTACCATTTTGAGAAGAACCCTTCTCAGCTGAATCTTCTGTATCCCAGAGAGTTTCTGTGAAACAACATCACTCACACCAGACAAAACTCCAGCAGTAATGGCCTGCAAAGTACATAACTCACTTCAAGACAAAACCTAAATTCACTAGAGAAAAAGTCAACGAGCTATTGAAATCACAATGATTCTCTCAGATACCCGGATTTTGAAACTGGGTCTAGTTAAAACACACAAACTTTCAATCGAAAACAACATAAACGTCATTCAATCGTTCAAACTAAACCCTAATTTCAAAAAAAAAAAAAAAGAAAAAAGAAACTACTCTCTAACTAAATATCATTCACAAACCACGAACAAAGAAAAAATCAAACCTTTGTTCTAAGAGGATGTTGCTGAAGTTGTGACAAGTATCGTTGCAGAGTCGTCTTCTTTGCTGGAGATCCCATTTCTTGGATTCTTCTCTTCCGATTCTCTACAGTGTATGTCTGTCTAGTCATCCCTTTCAACCACATTTCAGCATTTATTTCAATAAACAAAACCGACCCGGTTTAATCTCGAGACACAACGCAATCAAACAAACCGATCCGGTTTAATTGTATTAAAGACTCGTTCTACGAGGATGGCGGGTAAAATTGGGAGGCTTTCGGTTTAGACCAAAACCGCCACAGGAGAATCTGTCAGCGCTTTTGGTCAAGATTCAATTATAATTCTCTATTTGGTCAATTCAATTCATTTAATTTTCTATTCTACTTGTCTGCTCTGCCTGCCTATCAGCAAAAAACTATATATATATACAGCTATCATCATCATCTTCTTCTTCATCATCAAACACAATCACAAAAACATCAGAGAAAAAAATCAAGAAACCAACGTAACCAAACGAATCAATAACAAGTTTAGTTCTTGTATACACACACCAATGGCTTCATTGCAGGTTTCAAGATTACTTCTTTCGTCATCGTCTTCATGCATGAGAGCTAAAGCTGCAGTCTCCATCCCGAAACTGCCGAAATTTAACGTCTCCGTTCCGAAAATACCGACAAAGAAGCAAACTTTATCGGTTAAAGAACCGAGCTTTGCGCTAGATGGGTTCGTGGAAAGCCTTCCTCTTTCCTTGAAACAGAGGAGAGACTCTGATTCTATCCAAAGGGCACGTCTCTATGCTGTTCTTGAAGCCGTTATGGATAGGATTGAGATGCACAAGAACATCGGGGATCAGCGGAACAATTGGAACTCTCTTTTGCTCAACTCCGTCAACATGATCACTCTCACCGCCGCTTTGATGGCCGGAGTAGCCTCAGTTAACGGTCACGGAGGAGACTCTGTAACGGCGGTGAAGATAGCTTCGACGGTTTTGTTATCTTCTGCCACAAGTATCAGTGCCTTGATGAGCAAGATTCAACCTTCGCAGCTAGCTGAAGAACAGAGGAACGCTACAAGGCTGTTCAAGAAGCTGAGAACAGAGCTCGAAATGTTTCTGAGAGAGAACGAGGAGATTTATGAAGAAGATGTGAAGGAAGCGATACAGAGAGTGTTGGCTCTTGACAAAGCTTACCCTCTTCCTTTAATAGGAACAATGCTCGAAAAGTTTCCTGAAGAGTTTAAACCGGCGACTTGGTGGCCTGAAAACAAACAGAGAAACCCTAAGACCAGTCTTGCGGACGGGTGGAGTCAAGAGCTGGAGATGGAGATGAGAGAAGTAGCTCATGTGGTTAAGAGTAGAGACGCAGAAGAGTATGAGAAATTAGGTAACGTGGCGTTGAAGTTAAACCGGTTCTTGGCTATCTCTGGACCAGTTTTAACCGGAGTTTCTGCAGTGAGCTCTGTTTTTATCGGTCAAGATTCCGGTTTAGCTGGCATTCTGGCTATCACTTGTGCTTCTTTGGCTGCGGTTGTCAACACTTTAGAGCATGGTGGTCAAGTGGGGATGGTGTTTGAGATGTATAGAAACTCTGCAGGATTCTTCTCCTTGTTAGAAGAGACGTTGAACTCGACAGGGAAGAGAGAGCATGGACAGGTGTTTGAGACCAAAGTTGCGTTGAAGTTAGGGAGAAGCTTGTCTGAACTGAGAGATCTCGCAAAGAAATCTGAAATCTCTCAGGTTAAGGCTAATGAATTTGCAAGCAAGCTTTTCTAGGTTTTATTAGAGATAACTTCCATTGATTTGTATAGATGAGTTCATCAATTCTTTGATTTATTTGTATCGACAAATTTATTTTACCTTTACAAAAGATAATATAAGCCGGTTGGCATTGACATTTCACACCCAAATAATGAACAGAACATTTAGAATTTGTTAGAAAAACCATTTAGAACTAATACTAGATTTTGATTGGTGTTATTTTATTATAAATAAAAGGTTATTATGAATTACTATTTTGAGAATTGTACATTATTATGTTTCAAAGTCTGAATTATTTCGATGCAGATAATTTGTTTATAATTAATTGTTTTCTAATTTTTATCACATTGATTTTGAAAATCTCATAGATTCATAAGATATTTCAAAAGTTGAATTTTAAGAGTAAAAATGAATATAATTCATATCCGAATAAAATTTAGTTAGAATTAGCGAATTAATAATAACTATTTTTTTTTGAGTAACAAATGATTTGAATTGATTATGAATTACTATTTTGAGAATTGTACATTATTATGTTTCAAAGTCTGAATTATTTTGAAGCAGATAATTTGTTTATAATTAATTGTTTTCTAATTTTTATCACATGGATTTTGAAAATCTCATAGATTCATAAGATATTTCAAAAGTTGAATTTTAAGAGTAAAAATGAATATAATTCATATCCGAATAAAATTTAGTTAGAATTAGCGAATTAATAATAACTATTTTTTTTGAGTAACAAATGATTTGAATGGATTTTGAAAGTTCTTAAACCAATCACCGTAGATTTTTAAAATCCATGAACGAATAACAATAAAATCTCAACATTTAAAAAAGTTCATGAGAATAGCTTATCAATAACCTCTAGTGTTTACACAAGTTCCATGAATATTTTGGTAAAACTTCTGAGAAGTACCTATATTTTTATAAATGCAGATCTTTTATAATTTAATATAAAATTGTTAATGTTAATCAAATAAGATAGTCATGGTGTTAGGATCAAAATGTTACGCGATGAAGTTTACCGTGTAATATTATCAAAATGATACTCTTTTTCAAAAAAATATCCTTTAGACATTATTCTTTAGACATTATTTATAAAGTGATTTTGATACATGTTATCTTTATAATCACTGTCACTAAAATAAATGTGACATGATATATTATAAAGATGGAATGGCGTAGGGTTAAATGTGATATGAATGATTATATTTAATGTTGTTTTATATTTTTAATCATTGAAATAAATTTATTCAAATATGACGTTAAATAATATAATATTTGTTTTACATTTTTTACTGAAAAAATATTTTCAAGTTTTTCTATGATTTTTTAAAAAATTATAATCTTTAATCGTAATATCATTAGTTTCTTTTATATATCTAGAAAATTTTAAACACTGTTTAGTTTTACTTTTTTGATAGTTATAATACTTTTAACTCAATTTTTAATTAATTTTATACAATTTGATTGAATATATTTTATCCAAGAAATAGATAAAAAAAATCTAACTAAAGTTATAATTTTAAAATAAATGCATATCTATTTTAAATATAATTTAAAATAAAGAATATTTTATTTCTCTTAATTTTATGTTTAAGTAAAAGAAAATTTATTTTAATATAATTGAACGAAAATAAGAAAGTTTTATATTTAATTATAATTTAAATTAAAAAAATTTATTTCTGCATATGGTGCAAGAAAACACTTAATCATTATTTAAGTTACAAAGAAATGTTATAGCATTATTTTGTTATATTAAGTTAATAACTAGATCTCGACCCGCACTCGGGTATGTTAATATTAGAATATTTAAATTATATAATAAAATTTATCCACAAATAAATATAATTTAATGTTGTATACTATCTGATTTTATAATAATGTTTATGTGGCTTATAATATATTAATATAAAATCTATAAATTTGTATTTTGTCACAATTTAAAAAAATATTATTATGTAACATTACTAATTTACATATTTTTTTTAATTTCTAAATTTGAAATATAGGTAAAAAATAAATTATGTTGGATCTACATAAATTATAAACAAATCTTTAGGTTAGTGTTAAAAGTATTTTACATATTTTTAAATTTTTGTTTATAACTCAAAAATGAATTAAAATTTTAATTATATTTTATGTTATTTAAATTTTTAATCAAATAATTTTCGAAAATATATCTTGAAAAGATTCTAAAAGATTTTGAATGATTTTGTTAGATTTTTTTTTATAGAATATTTATTTATATCTTAAATAAAAATTAAAAATATGAAAAGATATTATAAGATGCTATGCATTATAAATTTTCTAAAGATGGTCCAAACTAAAAAATCACACATGAAATGAGTCATGACTTCTGTTTTAATATATAAGATTAATAGGTCCAACAACTTTGTACAGTAATTTTTTAGAATGATCATTTTTTTGTATGCCAGATTTTGATCCGCACTTTCAAAATGCAAAATATTTTTTGATGAAAATTTAATATACCGTATTTTATCTTTATTAAAGTTGACATGGGCATAAAATCCGTAACTCCAAGTCCAAACCAAATTTAAACAAAAGAAATCTGATCCGTACCATGTTTGAAATGTAAAATATTATCAGATGAGTCTTGTATGATGGTATAAAACATATCTGAATCTGAGGTTTTATCAGCGAACCCAAACGGATAAGACGTAAACCCGAAAACTTCTAAAAATCCGAAGAATGATCTGAATGTTAGATAAGTCAGAAATGTAAATAGTTGCAACATAACTATATACTTTCACTACAAAAAAACATTAATTTAGTAACTATTTTTGTAACTACGATCTGTAGTTACCAATATATGTTACTTATTTTTAACGATTTTACAACTATTTGACAACTACAATAAAAACGTTGTACGTTAGTTGCAATTATGTGACCAAATATTGTGGTTATAATTCAGTTGCTTTATTGTGACATATTTGCAACGAATTGGCAATTATATCATGTGGTCCCTTAATAGTTGCAAAAGTATAACTAAAATGCAACCACATGTGTAGTCGGAAAAATCTAGATACACATTAGTTGCAAATGATTAAAATCTTGTAGTTGCAAAATTGTTACACGTTTTGGTGACGATTATGTAACTAGGTTGGTGGACACATGTTTTTTGAACGGCAAGTAGGTATAACTAATTTGCTACAAGTTGCAGAAGAGTCTCACATTGTCTATTTAAATCAATCGTATCTTCTCATCTCATTTGTGAGAAATTTATTAAAAAAATTCTTCATCTCTTCTCATATCATTTGGGAGAAAGTTTTTTTAAAATTTTTTTTATACCAACCAAAAATT